ATTTTATATTTTTAATTGTTTTCATTCATAAATTCAATATTTTCAAAGGAAATACGATAAAAAATACCTATAGGTACGATTTAGGCGACCGGTTGCCTAAATCTTTTGCAGCATGTTACAAAAAGATTTATAACAAATTAATTTGTTATTGGTGGAAAGTTAAACATACAATAATAAGCGTCCAAAACCTCGAGCTCCAATTTCTAATGTTCATTTGCATATAAAACAGTGCCAAATGGAAAATATAATAAAAAATAGGTTAAGTGGTACGCATTTAGCAACTTTCCCCTATATAATTATGAATCATAAAGGAAAAAGTAACAATAAAATGAACATTTGGTAACGCCTTTTGCTGTAATTACCGCGTCAATTCGTTTGGGCATATTTTCTATACATTTTAAACAGTTTATTTTGATCTCTTTTATGCCACACAATCAAACACTCGATTAATTATTAGTGGTACATTCCTTGGAAATTTTTCTCTTCATCAATTCCCAAAGCTAGATTTTATTCGATGGACAGTTAAAATCCGGAGAATTTCTGGGATAGTCAAGAATTTTAATATTTTTTTCATAGTGAGAGATAGTGTTATCTACAGTGGTGCCGAAAGTATATTTAAAATTTATAAACATCAATATTTTATTTAAAAAAAAAATAATACAGTGTAGTTGTTTTCATTTAAAATTAATTACTTTAACTTAAAATCGTTAATTTATGCAAGTAGTTCCATACTCTTCAATAATAAGAGTCTGGATACGAATCGCAGAGTTTTGTATGCAAAGTAGTAGTTTTAACAAAAATTTACGAGAGACATTATACATTTACTATTATTTTTTTCTTTCGTTTTGTATCATGTTCTATCTTTTTCTTATCTATTTCTCTTTCTCTCTCTCAGGAAATGTTAAAACACATAATCAAAAGTGACTTTCTCAAGTCCAGACTCTTATTAGAGGGTCTTTATAGGTAGCTCTAATAATTTAATCACTCACTATAGCTCTAACGTTTACGGTTCCAGCATGTTGACTTTTCGATTCTTTGTTTTATCTTCGAACGAATAACCACTCGACGGATGAAACGCCATGTGATAGCGCGAACGTTATCTCCCTGGTTCGCCGAGATCGAAATGCGATTCATATTCAACGTTATCGACCTTTATTGTATCCTCGATATTTGCTACGAGGTCTAATTTATCGGCGCTCCAGGAGCGTGACGTTCACGCGCGTTGACCACGTCCGCGTTCTCAGAACCGGTCAATTGATTCGCTGATAAGTCTAAACAGCGATTCGACATATACGGTCGATAAGTGATCGCTCGGGCAGCGTATGCTGGTTGCTAACGAAGGAAAAACAGGGAAGAGAACACGCGCGGGATGTGAAAGGAAGGAATGAAGATATAGACAAGATAATAGAGTAAAATAGAACAGAAATCTATTGTAGGCTTCCCAGAACAAAGCTTTCAGAATAGCTCGTAAGATTGAAGCGCATCAAATTGACGCGAATTAGTACACAAGAAAAATATTACAATTGTATGAAATAGATATTACATGGAAAGAACGGTTTTGTTAAAAATTCTAAAATTTTGTTGGATACAGATTTAAAAGGTTGAACCATCAAAATAATTATGCTGAAAACTAAAAAATGATGAGCGAAAAATGTTGCTGCACTGTAAAAAACATTCTAGCCACCAGTTTGAATTTCCAGTAAAATTATTATCGTCCAACAAAATTATTTTCAGATCTGTATCCAGCAAAATTTTATGCTTTCAGCAAAATCGTTCTTTCCGCGTAAATTCCGGTAACCGAACAATAAAAGCAGATGCATTGCAAAATATTACAATTTAAATAAGGTTACAAAGAATTTAAGAATAAAAGAATTTAACAAAAATAAGAATATAAAATATAAAAATAAGCGAAAACAAAATTGTAAATGTAATATTAATAATTAAAGATTATGTATCGCGTGCATAAATTCGCATATATATATATATATATATACAAGAATAGAATAAGGATAATATAGAATAAGGAAGAGCGAAGCGAGAGGAATTCTCGAAGATTTTCCTCAGTAATTTTTTTCTTTCGCGTACTATTGACAAACAGGTGAACGTCGCATTCTCGTTAAAAATGGAAAGTCGAGGTAATTATTATTCGGACGAGCGGCGTAACAGAGCCCGTTCCAAAGGCGAAGTAAAAACAGAAAGCGTGTCCGCGCACGAGCGCGAACGCAGCAAGACTTCACGCCCGTATGTGATGGCA